TTTCTCCTTCAAGGGTCAAAGTCCTGGGCAGGAACATTCTGCTGGCAAGCCTGGGCCTACGTTTCCATAGAGGCAGGCAGATTCTGCTCTTTCCACTTCTGCAGGGGGAAGGGTGACTGTTTTCTACCAAGTCCCTAGGAGTAGAGGATTTCCACAACACAAGACCCACGTTCCTCTGCCAAGTACCACACAGTTCCCTTGGCTTTCCACAGTCTCTCTTATTTCTAGGCCTTAGCACATGCTGACGTTTTTGGAATATGCTTCTTTCTCTCCTCTAGGCAAATCCTCCTTATCTTTAAGATTCCATCTCACTTATATGAAATTTCCCTCAAATCTGAGTTAGAGGCCCTCCACCGTGTTCTCTCTGAAACCTGTTCTTTCCCCAATATTGCATCGAACAATGTTTTATTTGTATTTTTCCCCACTTGAGTGCAAGTTCTCTAAGGATGAATGCCCTCCCTTTTACTAGCCACTGGATCCTTGGCACTAAGCACAATACTGAGCACATAATAAATATTCCTTAGAAGTATTTTGAATTAATCAACTAATGAATGAAGGAAATGAATATCAATGGCACCATCATCCCACCAGTCACCTAGCTCCAAATTCAGACATTCTTATCACCATCTGGTCTGTCCCATTCATTGTATGTCCATAGGCTAGGCCCTCATTATCTTTCTCCTAGACCTTTGCAATAGCTCCCTGTAGAGGACATCTGTTATTTCTGCCTACCCAATAGTCCTTTCTTCTGATTTTGGAAACTGCCACCATTTACTTTGGGGGAACTACTTCTCCYATTCCCTGCAGTCTTGAGGGAAGTGTCAGTCAAGGTCCCTTTTGGCTTTCACCAAGGAATAAACAAATCTAAAACAAMTTTGATTTTGTTTTGTTTGGGTACCCAGGATTGAACGCAGGGCCTAGCCTGATAGGCAATTGCTCTATTGTTCAGCTACATTCCCAACTCCAGAAATTTGACTCTTGAATGGAATATACAAAAATAGAAAATGAGAAATGACTCACAAGAAATTCTTCATTGCATTTTGGGGGTGACTTCATCAAGTTTAGAACCAAATGAAGGGGTAGTCACAGAGGTGAGGCAGAGGGAGATCAGAATATTATCTTTATTTCTGACAAAGCTGTTTTGAGATGTGTCTTTACCAGTAGACAAGTGGGCTAATAGTGGACACAAAAATTAAACTTCCTCACCCAGTCCCAGGTAGTGCTAGAAAACCATATAGACTTAGGCAGTCTTAGTGATGTGTATCTATAGTCTCAGCTACTGAGGAGGCTGAGGCAGGAAGATCCCTCAAGCCCCAGAGTTCAAGGATAGCCTGGACAACAGAGTGAGACCCTATCTCATTTTAAAAAAAGAAAAAGAAAAAAATTCATAGTCTTTTGTGTAAGGTCTAGGCCCTGAGAAATTTTGAACATGCAAGAGAGCAAAAACCCTGTAGTTATTGTGGGAAGAAAGATCTAAAAAAGGGAAAAAGAAAAAACTGAGTTGAGCTCAAGTCATTCTTCCAAAACTCACTAATCAGATATTAATTAATTATATATCATTTATATATATATATATATATCAATATCATTCCTCCTCCTCTGGGGAATAACAGGTAGATGAAGGGAAGAGGCTAAAGTGTTACTCTAAAGGAGGTCCCAGCTGGRTAGGTGGTGCATGCCAATCATCCCAGTGTCTCAGGAGGCTAAGGCAGRAGAGTCACAAGTTCAAGGCAGTCACAAGTTCAAGTGCAGGCAACTTATTGAGACCTTATCTAAAAATTAATTAATGTATGTCAGTGGTAGAACATTCCTGGGTTCCATCTCCAGTATTGCAGGAAGAAAGAAAGKGAGGAAGGAAGGGAGGGAGGGAGGAAGGAAGGGAAGAAGATTATCTACTCTCACATGGAAAAAGCTGGGGTTGGGACTAGATGTTTCTTCAGTGCTGCTCACTTTTATTCCTGATATCTAGATTACCCAAAGTAGCCCTGGTAATTATCATTCCTGAGGCTTACAGTTGTACAGCTATATCTTCCCAATGAATTCCCTTTTTTGCTGAATGTAGCCAGAATCTGTTTTCTATTACTTGTACCCAAAGAACTTATATTAGTTTCCTACTGCTGCTCTAGTGAAACATCACAAATTTAGTGGCTTTTAGAAGACAAATTTTTCATGATATTACAGTTTTGGAGATCAGAAGTCCCCGATGGGTCTTATTTGAAGTCAGGTGTGAGCAGGGTCACATTTCCTCAGGTGTCTAGTGGAGAATCCATTTCCTTTCTTCTCCAGTTTCATTCCTTGACTTGTGACTGCCCATTCCACAGCCAGCAATCATATCACTCTGAGCTCTGCTTGTGTCATCACCGACCCTTCTCTGACTCTCCTGCCTCCCTCCTTCCCTTATGAGGACCTTCGTGATTATATTGGGCCCACCCGGATAATCCAGGATAATCTCTCCATCTCAGAATCCTTAACTTAATCACATCTGCAAAGTCCCTTTTGCCATGTAAGGTAACATGGTCATAGGTTCCGGCGATTTGGATGTGGGATTCTTTGAAGGGCTGTTATTTCTGCCTACTACAAAATATTAACAGAAATACCTTTTAAATTGCCTTGTAGCCAACTCTTTTCTCTCAAGTCCGTCCTGTAACTAATCTTTAAATAATGTGAATCTGGTCTTTATTGTCCTACCCAAGAAACCTTCCCATTCCCCACAGCCCATTGAATAAAATCCAAGCACACCTTCTCTATCCTGTTTGTAAGGGTTTGCTCTGAGAGTTCTCTCAGTCAGAGATGTCCCTTACCCCAAAGTCAAAGCCTCTTCATCCATCAAGTGCTTTCTATTTCACAAAGACTTTCATTATCATCACTCTAGCTGGAATCCAGCTGGACTGTGAGCTCCACGTCTGTTACCTGGCAGTGCTGGATCTCTGAGCTCAAATCTTTGCTCAGCCACAGGCTAGTCATTGACCCTGAGCAAGGTACAATATTTAACGTCTCTGTGGCTTAATTTCCTCTATTTTAAAAAAATGCTGATATAAAGTAGCTACCCCATACACAGGTGGCTGTGAGATTAAATGAGATGATGCATATAAATTGCTTAGCCCACTACTTGGCACATAGAACACAATAATAGGTGGATAGTAGAAGTTATTAGTTAAAATTAAATGTACTAAATGAATGAGCTACTCCCTTCTCCTGGAATGTCAATATCCTTACTATGCCTCAAAGCCTAGAACATTTTTAATTGAATGAATAAATCTTACATTTTGTGTATTTATGTGTAGTTTCAGTTGCTTTCCCTCCTGGGGGTCCATCCCTGGTCAGAATCATTGTTGGTTGAAAGGGAAATCTGTTCCTAAAACTTTGCCTAGTGCCCTGCTCACCACACACCTTAGTTTGTCTTATTGAAGTGAATTTTGGCCACATAGAAACTTCCACCAGAGAAAATGGGCTAGTTCCCCTTAGGCACTGTGCTCTTAGGAGGGGCACCAGATTGTCAACGTCTTTATTGTAAGAATGCTACTATGAAACTCTGAACTGGTTACTGCATATCTCTAGATGTAGGTTTCCTTTCTGAAAAATGGGCATAACAATTCCTACTTTCAAGGTCACTGGGAAGATTCAATAAGATCAAGTAGAGGGCTGGGGATGTGGCTCAAGCGGTAGCGCGCTCGCCTGGCATGCGTG